CCCCCCCCTCCCAGGACTCGAGCGGAGAGATAGTGAACTTGGAGTCGACTGAGCTGGAGTTGGACGCCAACTACCTGGGCTCGTGCTCCCTGGGCCGACCCTGGCCCTACACTCTGAAGGTCGGCAACTTCCTCCTCATCTTCCAGGTGGGTGCTTGGCGGGTGTTCCGTGTGTGGTGGGAGGTTGGCGGGTGTTCTGGTGTTGTATGGTGGGTAGTTGGCGGGTGTTATGGTATAGTGGGAGGTTGGCGGGTGCTCTGGTGTCTTTCCTCCTCATCTTCCAGGTGGGTGGTTGGTGGATGTTGTTGTGTGGTGGGTGGTTGGCGGGTGTTGTTGTGTTGTTTGTGTGGTTGGCGGGTGTACAATGTTATGGTGTCTTCCTCTTCATCTTCCAGGTGGGTGGTTGGTGGGTGTTGAGTGGTGGGTGGTTGGCGGATGATGGTGTGGTTTGCTTCTTCTTTCCTCTCAAACTCCTATCGTACTTATCTCCCCTTCTTTCTTAGTCTGTTACTGTTACCCTCTTGTAACACATCACATCTTCTGGTGCTCACTTATGACCGTATGCAGTTGCGAGCGCCGTAAAACCTTTACAAAAACTAAACTGTCATGGTGTGGTGGGTGGTTGGCCGGTGTTCTGGTGTGATGTTGTGTGGTGTGGTGGGTGGTTGGCGGGTGCTCTTGGGAGGTTTGCTCCTTCTTTCCTTTTAAACATCTATCGTCTTAATCTCTCCTTCTTTTTGCGTTAGTTACTATCTTGTAACACCTCTAATCATTGGCACTTATATGACCTTACTGTGTTGCGAGTGACGTAAAACGATGTACTCCTTTTTGCATGCGTGCAACACAAATTTCACAGTTCGGCACATCCTAATGGAATGTGTCGACTTTAAATGTAAAGATATTAAGACCCTTTTTGACATCATAGAGCCTAGAAGAATTTTAAGTTATATAAAAGAAATTGGACTGTTTAATAGAATGTGAAAATATATAGTTGTCATTGTCTGTGTATATATACATACGGTGTATATATACATACACTGACATTTGTATTGTATATACAAATGTAAATAAGCCTTTTCCATGTTTACAATTTTTAAAAATAAATGTTTGTTCGTCTTTTTAGCGTAATAGAAATAGTGTGATCGTTTGCGGTTGCGAGCTCCGAAAGACTCTATTAAAAACACGTCTGATTTTGTAGCGGTGAAACCTGATGGCGCTTAAATGACCAAGATTGTGTCGATAGTGCCGTAAAACATCTACCCAATCATGTAAAACGATGTAGTTTCTTTTTCTTCTTTTCTTTGTATGTTACCCTCTAGGCTCTAGTTGTGGGTGGTTGGAAGACATTTACTTTGTCGTAGTTTTGTCCTTTCTTATAAAAAAAATAAATATCCTTATAGTTTTTATCCTTTCATCTCCTTTCCTTTGTATGTTACTATTAACTTACATCTTTAATCTTCGGCACTTGTATGATCTATTTGTATGGCAAAAGACGTAAAACTTACTAAAACTAAAACTCTAAGCTTCAACCCTTTTATGACCTGGTTGCTTTGCAAGTGCCATAAAACTTTCATAAGACCCCCCCCCCCCCTTCCCTAAAAATCCCTCCCGTCCTTGTTTCCTTTTATGTTACTCTAATCTTCAGTTATTTTGCCCTGTTTTTGTTGCAAATGGCGTAAAACTCTTAACTGGGGTGCCCTGATAGTCGAAACAGACTTTGGGCTGTAGAAGCAAGAGAGGTGAGCAGCGTAAGCCGAATTCCCTGTAAGGACGTCTCTGTTGACATCCACCCCTTGGCGCTCATATGACCTTATGCAGTTGCAATCTCCGGAAAACCTCTACTAGTGGGTGATTGGCGGGTGCTCTGGTGTGGTTTGCTTCTTCTTTCCCTTCAAACATCTATCGTCCTTATCTCCCCTTCTTCTTTTTTATGTTTGTTACTCTCTTGTAACTCCTGTAATCTTCTGGCGCTCATATGACCTTATGCAGCATCGAGCGCCGTAAAACCTCTACTAGAACTAAAACAGAGAGGTGAGCAGCGTGAGCCAAATTCCTTGTAAGGACTTCTCTGTTGACATCCACCCTTTGGCGCTCATATGACCTTTTGCAGTTGCGATCGCCAGAAAACCTCTACTTGAACTTTTTTAAAATCTCTTAACTATAATAAATCTTCTTCTGTTCCATAGTCTAATGTTTAGGCTACCGGACTCGTAATCGTGAGATTGCGAGTTCGGGGGTTCGTGCCTTAGCTCGGTCCGACCTTGTGTCCTTGGGAAAGGCACTTTACACGAACTTCCCACCTGGCTCGGTGCTATCGGAGACGGACGTTAAACTAGGAGGTCCCGCCCCTTAAATAACCTAATAATGTTGATAGGGGCGTTAAACGTAAACCATTTCACCATTTTTTCATCTGTTCCAGGCCGCCTGGTCCAGGATGACTGACAAGAAATATGGCTTCCGGATAGAAGAAGGCAGACCCTTCTATGTCATCGACATGTGGCACGAGGAGTGGGGCCAGATTCTGAGAGAGAAGGAGCAGGAAAGACGGAAGCGGGCACGGAGGAGGAGAGATGATCCACCTAAGACGGTGGAAAGGGAAAAAACAGATTTGCAAGAGCATATGCGAAGAGTGTTGAGATTCGGGGCTGACATGCACGCAATGACAGTGTGGTTTAGGGAGCAGGAACTGAAGAATTCGAGGAATATTACCAGGGAGTCATACAGTCAAGAGCTGGCGACCAGGATGAGGAGTATGGAGAGAGAGAATATGGCTATGAAAATGGAGAAGCAAAGGGTACTCGAATATGGGGAGAGGATGCAGAAACAAGTGGAGAATAGAGAGGAGGAGGAGAGGCCAGAGGAGGAGAGGCAAGATGACGAGAGGGTAGAGGAGGCAAGGGCAGCGGAGGCAAGGGTAGAGGAGGCAAGGGCAGAGGGAGAGCAGAGGAGTAAGAAAGAGGAGAAGGCAGACAAAAGAAAGAAGAAGAGGAAGAAGAGAGGTCGGCATTGAGTCGTTTAACTTTGTGTACAATGTCTTTCAAGGTCATTTACTATGTAACGAATCGTGCAAGTTTATGAACAATGTCTACATTGAGCCCTGTACGTTTGTGTATCTTTCCTTTGTGTGATTGGGTCGCCTATTGCGAGTTTTAGAAACAGATTTTATTCCATGTATATGAAAACTATGAAAACGTTGTATGCGAAACAAAGTATTTTTAATTGTAATCAAAGTTTTGTTCCCACATGGATGTGGGGCAGTCTGTTTTTTCCTCGGCGTCATAAAGACTGGATGACCACCAGACTTTTATTTTTAATAAATATTTGTGTAAATATAAACTAATGAATTTGTTATTTTTTGGATAAATAGTTATTTTAACTTGAATGTATATGGGTTTTTTTTTCAGCTCCACTCTTTTTTGTCTTCTCCATGTCTGTATTATCGAATCTATTAAAAAAAAAATTTAGTAGAGGTTTTACGGTGCTCGCAACTGCATAAGGCCATATGAGCGCCATGGAGTGGATATCAACTGAGGTCTTTACATGGAACCAGGCTTACTCTGCTCACCTCTCCAGCTTTAACAGCACAAAGTCTGTTTTATCGTATCTTAATCTATCAAAATCGAATCGATGTGGGCGTAAAACAACTACATCCATATACGGAAAAAATCGTAATTATAACCTCATTTGATTGACGGAATAAAAGAACCGCATCGACGCAATGAGGTCATTTGGAGATAACTCATGAGATCATCTCTCAAATTAGACATTTTGCTTTCCAAGAATATGAGTGGTCGGTGGATATTCTGTCGCAGTCTATTTGTTTTTTTCTATAAAACATTTGTCGTCCTTTATATTTGTATGTTCCTCTGATCTACGGCACTTACATGACCTGTCTTGCAAGTGAGGTAAAACTTTTTACTCAGACTAAAGTAACTCAAACCTGAAATTAGAAAGAGAATCATAATATACACACGTTAAGGGTTCTTTGATGATAGCTCACGCGTCATCTCTCCGATATATCTTTCTTTCCACGAACTGTCCATCACATGTATGTTTGAAGGGTCTTCATTCTTTTATGGAATTATGGTCTTTAAACTTCACTCAGAAGGGAATGATGAGTACCCGGCTATAGAAGGCACGGGGGCTCTAGTGGTCTAGAGCTAGAGGTTATGGTGTTTGCATCTCATTTAATAGGTCTGGGTATGAATCCGGACAGCGACAGCAAAATTTCTTCTCTAAAAATGTCTCCTTTCACCTCCTTTCCCGCTCTCTGGCCATGTTCTGTCGTCTGCTTTCGTCTCCACTTTCAGGCCCCTCCCCACTCCCCTTTGCCCCTCCTCTGGGGTCCTGACTCTTTCTGCAGCCTTTCTCTACAGCTTCTCCTCGGCTCCTTCTCGCAGCAGTCTTTCTTCCACACCCTTGATCTTATAGTAGGTATAATCAAACATCTAGCCTTCTCTGGTAAGGTCAAAAAATCTCAGAGGTTCCGTGTGCAAGTTGCGCACGTTAAAGATCCCTTGATGGTCCTAAATTCGATAAGGCTCCCCCCCCCCCCTACAAGGGCAAATTTCCAAATTTCCTACCAACTCAGAAATGTTTAAAGTGTCCGGCGCGCTAATATGACCTTATGTAGTTGCGAGAGCCGTAAAACACTTACCAAAAAAAAAGATCAATAAAGAAGTCGAAACATTTTGTAAGTGTTCAGGGTGCCCCAAACTCAAGGGCCTCCATAAAAAGTTGAGTAAAAGAAAACCTGCCTAAGGTTAAGGAGCTTACAGAAGCTCCTTGCATAAAGAAAAGAAGTCTTTAGCAGAAACATGAAGGAACCATTAGTACAGACAGTCACACATTTATTTTTTTAAAGTTTTAGTGGAAGTTTTACGGCGCTCGCAACTGCATACGGTCATATGAGCGCCCGAAGATTAGAGCTGTTGCAAGAGAGTAACAAACATAAAAAAGAGAAAGGGGAGATAAGGACGATAGATGTTTGATAGGAAAGAAGAAGCAAACCACGCCAGAGCACACGCCAACCACCCACCCACACATTTATTTGTAACGTGAAATAAGAATCTGCATCAGAACAATAATTAGCATTACAAATAAAATTCTGCTCCATCTCTATTTCGGGCAGTTCATTTCTGTGTTCTGACGCCAAAAATGCTGTTTAGCATTCTCACACTACTGAGGTGTGGTAGTTTATACAACAAGCTCCTGATCGTCTCAATTTCTGAATTCCTGGAGGGTTTGGAATCTTTCGCGTAAGACTAGGTTTTTGAGATAACCGTTTAGAAAAAGGTTAAATGGTTTCAAAACTAGACTGAGTGGTGCCCATGGGTGATCTGTCAAGCGACTAATGACACCATCCCCAAATGACCAAAACTGAGTCGACAGTGTCGTAAAACAGCTACTCAAACAAACAAATAAAACCATCCCCAAAATGACCCTTTCAGCCAGGTTAAAACACGTTCTGTAGTGTGAGGGGCTGCTTTCTTCTAAATTAACCATTGTTGACCTCATAACAGCAGAACTGCCCCCATGAATCTCCCAAGCTTGTATCAACGGATGGCTTTTTTTGATGACTTCATCGCGCAATCTCTGGAACGTAAAATACATGTTATTATTATCCTTATGTTTGTCATGGTGTCATTCAATCATTCAAGCATAACTCTTTATTCATGAACAAGCATCTTCTCACATGGTCAACGCCTTTAAACAATAATTTCTTGAAAAAGAAAATCATATCAACAACGGAGTGGTCATCTGTAAATAGTCCCAATATGAATCCTACAGAATATGTGGAGCCCCATGAAACAGCAGCTAAAGAAACTCAACTTTGCTCCCAGTTTATATTTTTACGTTTTGTTTGGGATGAACTGACAGTTAATGATGATTATGTCCAAACGTTAACACAGCCCATGCCCAAAGGGTTTGTGCTCTTCCCAAGACCAATTTCTCCTAAATAAAACACTAATGAGTACTTGTAATAGGTTTTGCGTGGTATTTCGGACAGCTCAGTTTGCAATCAGTTTTAAACTATCTCAGTTTTTTAAACTATCGTAATAAGATATCGTTTATTGACGACTGATAAGAAATCATCCATTAATTTGATACATGTCCAATCCATCACTGTTGATGCACTTCAAGACAAGCACAAACACGCTTTTAAATTTCTTTGATTTCATTTCCCAGAATTTTGCCAAGTCTGATTCCTTGAGGTTAATATTAAGTGAACATTTAACGGGCAACTCTACAAACCGTAGATGAACTATTGTGTCAATCCGGTATGTTGCACAAGGGAGATGACTGTAGTAATCACATCCCCAAAACGGTCTTGCCTGGGTTGTTCCCCTCGTGTTCACTGTTTTGTTTTTTTAGTAAGAGTTTTATTGCAGCTGCAACATTTAATAAGGTCATATAGATCTAAGTACTAAGTGCCGAAGATATGGGGTGTTACAAGAGACTGACACTAACAAATAAAAAAAGAGGAGAGGAGACAATAACAATAGATGTTTGATATGAACGAAGGAGAAAACAACTCCAGAGCACCTGCCAGCCACACACCTCTGTTTTGTCACTACGACCTCGTCATCGCCACAGGTTTCTCTCCCAGATAATTACGGTTGACGTCATCAGTCTCCCTCTCGTGGGCGGTTGGCGGGTGCTCTGGTGTGGTTTGCTTTTTCTTTCCTATCAAACATCTATCGTCCTTATCTCCCCTCCTTCTTTTTTATGTTTGTTACTCTCTTGTAACACCTCTAATCTTCCAGCGCCCATATCACCGTATTATGCAGTTGCGAACGCCGTAAAACCTCTACTAAAACTAAACTAAAAGACTCCCTCTCCCGACTGGTGTCTGTAGCGCACTAATAGTGGGTGGTTGGCGGGTGCTTTGGTGAGGGTTTGCTCCTTAATTCCTTTCAAACATCTGTCATTCTTTTCTCCCATCATTTTTCTTTTTTCTTCTTATATTATTATTCTTTAGGAATACCTCTAATCTTCGGTACTTATATTATTGTCTAGTGATGTTGCAAGCCCCATAAAACTCAGTTGATTTTCTATTTGGATTATTCTTTTGCCCCAAGTGAACTTTATGTGGGTGGTTGGCGGGTGCTCTGGTGTGGTTTGCTTCTTCTCTCCTATTAAAATCTATCTTCCTTCTCTTCCCTTCTTCTTTTTTATGTTTGTTACTCTCTTGTAACACCTCTAATCTTCTGGCGCTTATATGACCTTATGTAGTTGCGAGCGCCGTAAAACCTCTACTAAAACTAAACTAAAGTGAACTTTATTACAAAGCTAGTTCGCTGCTCAGAACCAAAAACTCCTAACCCCATCCAATAAAAATGATTATATGTCCATAGAGCACGGTCGTACTCTGCCGCCCAAAATTTTTAGCGCACAACACCCACAAAGAGACAACAAAAGAAACTTTACCATCCACGATCCATTCAGTTTTACGTACAAGTTCCTCGCAAGAGCTATTCGTTCATTACAACATCTACAACTCTACAACATCTACTGCTATACCATACCAAGTTCTTGTGCTTCACCCCAGTAAAAAATAGTATGTTCAGTGGTGTAATCTATCTCGGAAAATGCTCTATGGGCCGACCCAAACAACAATGACGTTTTGACCGTTTTTCTTAGTTCATAAATATTAATAAGGCCGCACAATCTCAATGTGCACCAGCCGAACAAAGCCCATAGAGGCAGTCTAAAAACTAAAAATAACGCGATCTCAGACCAGTTCACGATATTTTACACAATTCATTATTCAATGCCCGTATTATGATAGCTTTGGAGCAATCCACCGGAGTGCTCACAGTGATGTGCGATTGGTCCATTGTCTTGACATCTCTAGCCCCATCTCTGTAACCCTGAACTTGAGCGAGGTCAACAGGACGTAATAGATCACTGTGTTAGAAGTTGGAATGGTGTAGTGGTGAAAGTTTTATTACTCGAGTGCGTATTCCAATGCAGGATGAATGACGTTCATTGCAAATAAATTCAGTTCACCAAGCAAAGTAACGAGAAGAGAGGGAAAGAAATAGGTCCTCACCAACCCAAAGATATCGAAATAATACAACCAATAAAAAGTGGAGTGGCTCACAGTCAGCGTTAGCAAATTATACTCATTGTAGACCTAGATTAGGCCTACTGTTTCTCCTGTCTGCTTTTTGGAACTGATGACCCCAAGTAGTCTAAGACAGGTTTTACTGATCTTGTCCATATGAAACAACGCATTAAAGTCAAGAGTCATCAAGAGCGCAGGTGAAAAATGCCGTTAAGTATCATACTTTCGGACAAGTAGACACAGCAGCGCAGCTAGTCGTTGGTCATCACATTGCAACTTCTCACAACAACGAACTGGTGAGAAAGAACAGGCACGTATTGTGTAAGGTTATCGAGCGTATTTTGTTCTGTGAAACTCACGAACTCTCCCTTCCCGGTCATGAAAAGGGTGATTTGTCGGGTACAGAGGTATTTTTCGCTAACGCTATGCAGGTTCTTCGACATTTTTTGCCCACTCTACAAAATGCATCTGCGTTCTCAGACGCGTTTGTCACCGGAATATTCTCTGGCGTCTGAAACAAGATGGAATTTACGGTCTCGAGTAATTAGCACCGTCTTCATTTGAAAAGGAAAGATCCAGCTTTGTCTTGAAGAAATTCAGTCTGAGCACTGGGACGATTATTCCGTCCACAATGGTATCCTGAATGTATTAAAGAGCGAAACATTTTCTCTTCTTTTTTCCACTTTTTCAACAAAGTGTTTACGCACGTTGATGCTGTTTATGGGATCCTCTAACACAGAAGTACAACGCCCATAGCAACCTAACAAGCTCTAGACAGGTTTAAAGTAGCCGTCGATGAAATTAGAAACGTGTCCCATCAACAAGACAGACCTCCAAGAGACGCATGCATTACAACACCAACGAAATTGCTGCTAAGCAGGCCTGTGACATAATAGTTACTCAAATTGTTGACAGTTTCTTGAAATAATATAAAATCAACGCACTCTCAATCTGCGACTCCTCCAAATTCCAGGACTACCAAAAGTCGTTTCCAACAGTTCTTTTAGGATCGTTTACAAAACTATTACTGTTTTGCATAAAATTAAAATCAAGTTACAAACAGAATTATAAGTATTACATAGCAATAAAATATTTAAATATGCTCAAGGTCGTACAATCCAGGGCCTTTATTCACCTCTGAAGGACTTCAAATTCGAGACAACATTTAGGGAAGTATGCAGAATCCTAGAGATCGCACTGACGTTTACGTTGATCCACAAGGACATCATTGACAGCATGCCCAACTTAGTCAACAGAGAATAATGGGCACTTTTGCTCCAGCAAAAGAACGAAAGAAAAACTTCTTTCAAATAGATTTTCTCAAAACAGGTAGGATGAAGAAAACATCTCAATTACATGTACATGCCCTTGACTATCTTCAACCTGGCCTGCTTTAACCTTATTGTGTACACCCACTTTTTAGACCCACGAGCCACCCCTGCCCCCCTCCTCCTGTTCCCCCCACCCCCCACCAATACCAGTTCTCCTTCTCCGGCACATAGCGATAAGGACTACCCCAGACCCCGGCACGACTTGGGAGCTGATTCAAATGCAATGGTGTCAACTTTTTGGGGTTTTTTGGCTGGGGCAACTCGATTTGGCCTGTGATGTTTAAGATGCAGTGTAGGCAGGTAGGGTAGTTTGAAAGCAGAAATGAAAAAAGAAAAAGGAGAAAAAAAAATAAAAAAAAATAAAATGGCATCAAAAGCCACGGCCTCATTTACCTCATCACCTCCC